GAAATAGGTGAAGACAGAGTTCTGAGGGAGAGAAGGGATGTTAGGCAGACAAAGGGATTGGCAATGGTAAGCCAGGGAGCAAAAAAAGCTGCCAATTGGGACCATTAGTGGGTGAAAATGCATTGTCTGTGCTGAAAGAAGCCTGTGTGATGACAGGGCCTGAGGTGTGGGAGTACGTAAAAGGCTGGGAAGAACGTATTCAGGCTATAAACTTATTGAACTCACAACTGAGTCCTGAAAGCTGCAGGCACCTCAAGTAGAAAATGAGATGCTGTTCTTCCAGCTTGTGCTGAACTTCGCTGCAAGGCAACAGAGACAGGAATGTTGGCCAGGGAACATGGCAGTGTGTTAAAGTGCCAGGCAACTCGATACTTGCAGTGATCTTTGCAAACAGAACGTAGGTGTTCCGTAATGAGGGCATCCAGTTGGCATTTCATTTCCCCAGAGTAGAGGGGACCACATTGTGAGCAGTGAACACAATAGACTAGATTGAGTAAAGGGTAGGTAAAGCGCTGCTTCACCTGGAAGGTATGGTTGGGGCCTTTGGTAATGAGATATTAAATGATCAGGTGTTACACCTACTGCTATTGCATGGGAAGGTGCTGTTGGGTCGTGGGGAAGCGTTGGGAGTGGAGGAGGAGTGGAACAGGATGTCCCGGAGGGAATGGTTCCTGCAGAAGGCTGACAAGGGAGAGAAGGGGAATAGGTGTCTGGGGATGGTATTCCGTTGGAGTTGACAGAAATGAGCAGTTCATGATCCTTTGGATGTGGATGCTGGTGGCATGGTAGGTGAAGGACTAGGGGGACCCTATCACTGTTCTGGGAGGGAAGATAAGGGATGAGGGCAGAAGCATGGGAGAGGAGTTCGACACAGCTGAGGGCCTTGGCAACCACAGTGGTGGGGAATCTTTGGTTGAGGAAACAGGTGGACGTTTCTGAGCCCCTCCCCTCCCCCCGAAGAAGGTGACATTGCCAGAATAGATGCAATGGAGACAGAGAAATTGGGAGAATGGAGTGGAGTCCTTACAGGAAGCAGGGTGTGAGAATGTAAAGTCAAAGTAACTGTGAGAGTCGTTTGGTTTGTGGAGTGTATCAATGGCCAGCCTATCCACAGAAATGGAAACAGAGAGATCGAGGAAGGGAAGGGAGGGGTCAGAGACAGACCAAGTGAAGGTGAGAACAGGTTGGAAATTGAACGCAAACTTGGTAATTCTTTCTAATTCCATATGAGAGAGGGAGGCCACACCGATGATGTTCTCAATGTACTGGACAAAGAGTTGTATGTGGGGCCAGAGTAGAATTGGAACAAATTCCAATTTTGTACCCCACGTAGAAACAGGTATAACTGGCATCCATGCTGGTACCCAAGGCTACATCTTTGATCTGAAGAGAGCAAGAGGAATTTTTGTAACTTTACCACATTGAGAAGGTACAGGTTGAAGACATTGATAACAGACTCTGGATTCACATCTGGATGCTCGACTTAGTTGCAGAAAAAATGCCTGCTACATGGGCCAAGCTCCAAACAATGGGCCCTGAGATAGATCAAATATCAAATCAAGGAGCATTTACCAGAGTTTGTTTTTGATACTGTGTTCACCTCTGTCATCCACCCTAGACATAAGGTCCATCTATTCAACCTCAACAAAGCATCCACTACATTGGCATCAATGAGGTGACAGAGGAAAGATTTAAAAGGGAGCTATGGGGCAACTTTTCCATGTGGAGGGTGGTGTGTGTGTGGAATGACCTGCTAAAGGAAGTGGTGGAGGCTGGTACAATTACAACATTTAAAAGGCATATGGGTGTGTACATGAATAGGACAGATTTAAAGGGATCTGGGCCAAATGCTGGCAAATGGGACTAGATTAATTTGGAATATCTGGTCATCATGTACAAGTTGGACCAAAGGGTCTGTTTCTATGGTGTACAGCTCTATGATGTAATTGCAGTTTTGCAAACAGGTTAACACTGTAACCCCATATCCACCAGTCACTGTGTTGATGTTGCCCAACCGCATCTATCGTCAAAAGCCGATGGTTGGAAAAAGGAGGAGACTTTCCCCTAAATGTGTAGTGCTGTGTGTAAGTAAATCTCACCGAGGTCCCATTACACTTGCGCAAGTGAAAACTTGGAACAGAAGGTTGGGCACATGAATTTCGAATCAACAGGCTGGATGTCTCAAGAAAGACAAGAAAGTGCCCATATTGAGACAACAAATGTTGAATTAATGAAATAGTTGCCAACAACATTATTTACTTGAAGATGTTGTTAGTAACATAATTAGACAGGACTTCATTGTTTGTGGATTTCTATTGCAAACTATGGCAGGAGATATTATGGTGTGCTCACTGCAATGGCTTTGCCATGTTGAGACCCTAGCCTCATCTTTCAGCTCCAGACATGGTGTCCCAGCTGTTGCCTTTGCTGAGGCTGAAGTATCTGTTAAATTGTCACACAGTTCTGTGGCATTAGTTTTATGATCTCCTCAGGGCCATTGTAAAGCAAAGTCTTATGTGCTGTGATTACACAAGGTGAATTGCCCTATATCTGCTAATGAAATAGCTTCTCTCTCTGATGATTCAGTGGGGACTTGGCTACAGTTAGCCGCTTAATCAGGCATCTGCTCTGCGCATCTGACTGGGAGAAACCGAACATGAAGTTCAGACACTGAAGCATCAATGGCTCCTTCCCAGCTACCTGAACCAGGAGGCTGGTGCCCAGAGTTGAGAAATAACTGCTGGCTAATGGGATAACACGGTGTAGAGCTGGATGAACACGGCAGGCCAAGCAGCATCAGAGGAGCAGGAAGGCTGACGTTTCGGGCCTAGATCCTTCTTCAGAAAATCTTTTTCTGAAGAAGGGTCTAGACCCGAAACGTCAGCTTTCCTGCTCCTCGGCCTGCTGTGTTCATCCAGCTCTACACCTTGTTATCTCAGATTCTCCAGCATCTGCAGTTCCTACTATCTGCTGGCTAATGGAGCTACTTTTAGATGGAAAAGGAGTGCAGTCATTTTTAAAAGACCTTGAATGTTTTCTTTATTATTGGGTGTTCACAAGGAAGTGTCTGCAGGAAGGAGAGTGGGACTATGAATTTGCATTTCTGCTCCTCATTTGCTCTCCGTCATGCAAAGCTACCTTTAGGACATTTGCCTGTGTGACAGAAATGTCTTTACGGCTTCATCGTAACAGGTTTTTTTTGTCCAAGCACAATATTCCATACTTACGCATCCAAATTGTATATCCTAACGCAGTGCTGTATTTATTTATCCTCACAAGTTCTTCATGTTTTCATCAAAAGCAACATGCATTTCTCTTTTGCTTTTGCTAAGTATTAATTGAATGGATTCACCAGTGTATAATCCCACAGGTTTAAGTCATTCTCTGACACCACCATTTTAGATTGTAGCAGGCTGAGGCAACCAGGCAATAAGCATCACAAGCCCAACACCCTTTGTGGTTTACAAAAAAGAATGATAAACTGTGCAAGGTGGAATGTTGGACTTAAGAAACAAGTTTTGGGAGCCCTACAGGCTCATCATAAAAGGAGAACAAGTCATGTTTGTGGTACAAAACTGAAAACTAAGGCATGCATTTGACATGCACAGCCCTCAGCATTCTGAAGCACTTGGACAGGTCAAACAAGATATCTGAGAGCTGTGTATATCAATGTGTTCCTTAGTTTTCATTTCTCTACCACAAACGTGAGATGATGAGCCTGCAGTGCTCCCAGGGTCCTACCATTTGACATGTTTTCCCTGAAGCACCAAGGATCTGGTGTACATGTCTCCCAGTCCCTTAAGGGAGTGGAACAGGTAGACAAAGTGATTAAGAAGACATCAGAGATACTTGCCAAGGCATAGAGCTTATGAGCAATGGGGTGATGCTGGAACTGTCTAAGCCATTGTTTAGGCCACAGGTAGAATATTGTGCGCAGTTCTGGAATCCACATTATAGGAGGTGTGTGATAGCACGGGAGAGGGTGTAGAGGAGATTTTCCAAGATCTTGCCTTGGCTGGAGAGTTTCAGTTATGAAGAGAGATTGAATAGAGTGGTGTTGTTTTCAATGGAGCAGAGGAGACTGAGTGGGGATATGATTGAGATGTATAAAATTATGGGAGGGACATATGGTTAGGGGCATAGACAGGAAGGAACTTGCCCCTTGATGGAGTGATCTTGACCAGAGGAATAGACTTAAGGTAAGGGGCAGGAGGTTTAGAGGAGATGTGAGGAAATGTTTTCACCCTGAAGGTGGTGAGAATCTGGAACTCACTGCCTGTAAGGGTGATAGAAGTAGAAACCCTCATAACATTGAAGTAGTATTTGGACGTACATTTGCATTGCCAAGGTATACAAGGCTCTGGGCTCAGTGCTGAAAAATTGGATTAGAATAGTTAGGTTAGTTTAGAATTTTTAGGTAGTTTAAAATAATTAGTTAGATTTTGACCAGTGCAGACTCAATGGGCCAAAGGCCTTTTGCTGTGCAGGAGACATCTATGATTCTGTGATGACTCTCCCTCAAAGTTAATGAGTTGCTTACTTCAGCAGCTCCGTTAGGAAACCACTGGACAGAGTTAGTACAAATAATGCTGATTTAGAAGCTTCCAGATGGATGCCTGGTCTGCAACATATTCGCTAATCTGAGCTGAGGTATTGAATTTGTTTGGACTGAGGGTGACCACTCAGAGTTTACATTTCTGACTCATGACCAATGTTTCCATTCAGGGAAATGTGTGCATCAGCCGAGTGTATAACTGTGTTAATGTTGGCTTCAGTGTCCATGAGTCTGCCAATCCAGTGTCAGACATGATGGATGTCTCTTGGATGGGATATTCAGAGGCAGTTGACACCAGGAACCCTGGGCCTGACCTTACCAACAACTGTTGGAGTTGGAAAAACAAAATGAGTATTTCCTTTTGCGTGTGTTTCTGAGTTCGGTTACCTCAGATGTGAAAAAGAAGCCTTTGCGAATTGTAATATCTTATTTGTTTGCTCGACAGAGTGGCCGGAGTTTGTGAAGAACTATGCACCTTGGTGGGCATCCCACACACTTGACTGGTTGAAATATGGCAAGAAGGTCCTGGTGGTTCATTACGAAGATCTGAAACGTGACCTCTTTAACCAGCTGAAGAAAATGGTGTCCGTGCTGGGCCTTAACGTTTCTGATGACCGGCTACTTTGCGTTGAAAGCCAAAAGGACGGCAATTTCAAACGCTCCGGCCTACGCAAACTGGAATACGATCCCTACACGCCCGAGATGAGGAAGATGATTGACATTTTCATCAAGACTGTTGACACGGCCCTCAAACTGAGAAACCTGACTGGTGTCCCTGAGGACTATGCCCCCAGATGATTTTGTCGGTAAATGCGTTCGAAACGTTGGCTGTATCTCCTTTCCCTTTCCCTGGCCAGGACTACTCTCCACCCAGTGGGTGGCTTCTTTTTTAATATTCTGCAGCTATTAGCTTTCCAAGTGCATCAACTGTCTAGAGTAAAGGTCACCAAATGCAGATGGGGTTAGTAACCTTATAGCGTAGACATGCCAGCAGACAATCTTTAGCAAGTGGGGTGTCACGAGTAAGGGAAAGTGATTGACATGAAACCCGTGCTACTTTTTTTAACCAGAGCAAACAGTTTGGCAAACAGGCTCTTTGAAGCTGAACAATACTCTTAGTTATGGCTTTTATCGTTTTGCTTGAGCTGAGGAATGGTGCTACCCACCTACAGAGGGAAGGGATTATCCGGTAATAATCTCAAAGGAATCTGGCCCTCTGTAGTTAATTGGAGTGAAACTGGGGTAATGGAGATGACTGGTACGGTCTCCTTGTTTACATAGAGGGAAGTGGAGGAGAGGGGTAAGTTGGAGAGAAGCATTTCAACAGCGGCCTAACACCTACCTATTTCAAAATCATGATGGGTATGGTGTAGCTCACTGCTGTCAGCAGCCAATCCACAGATGGTTTGAGAAAGTGACCATTGTCTTTCCTTTCTGTACCTCTCAGAATTTGCATTAATTTTGGACTGTTGTTGTCTGCTGTTGAGGACTGTTGCATCCAGTCAGCAAGTGCACTTGATGTGGCTAACGCATCTAATGCAAGGAGACAGTACGTCCTGTTGGCTACTCCTTTCGCACTTCAGAACAGGATTAAACGTTCCTGACCTCCACCACCTGTCGAATTGTGGCAGCTCATTTCAAAATTCCCTAAATGTGTTCCATCACTGGATATCTGGGAATAGCAGCAGATCACACCTTGCTGACATAGGGACGGGTGGGATGACTCTGATGTACAGCCTTTGGTTTGTCAAGTTGACTGCACAATCCATTCTTGTTTCAGTGAGAGCTGACCAATGGAAAAGAACAACTGTCTTCGACTGTGAAGTAGGTCTTAAAGCATTGCACCAGAAGAGTGAGCAGAAACATGATCCCACCAGTAATTAATTCGTACATACAGGGGTTGCAAAGTTTCGCCATAGTCAAGATCACATGGGCTGCCTAAATCAATAAATTGCTTCTATCTCTCCAATTTTCCATGAAAACCTCAATTAATGCCTTTAGCCAAACAGTAATTAAAACTGTAGTCATCTCGCCTCTGCAACTTGACCAACCAGGTTGTTGCTAAATTATTTCAGCCTGCAGTTCTGCTGCTGAGTCCCTTGAGGGAAAATAAATGCCCCGAACACTCTGGGGATGAGGCAGATGCTGGAGGGAATTGGACCCATCACCCCAGACACAGGTCAGAGGTAAGCTCCTTTAACAGATTGCTTCAGTTCTCGAGGTGAGGCAGGCAGTTTTCATAGAATCATAGAATCCCTACGGTATGGAAACAGGCCCTTCAGCCCAACAAATCCACACTGCCCCTCAGAGCATCCCACCCAGACCCATCCATCATAACCCACCCAATCTACACATCCCTGAACACTATGGGCAATTTAGCATGGCCAATCCACCCAACAGTTTTGCTTCTCAACGTTTCAAGGGCTGGCCTTCTGAATAAGTTATCAACTTGGAATTTCGAGAGGCCTTATCCAAAAGGATTTAAATCTTCTCAAAAGAATTGTAACTCCCACACAATCAGCTAAGGCCCTTGCTCCAGCAAAAATAGGCTCAGCCTGAACTCAGCACTGAGTTTGAATAGCATTGCTGGATGCAGGAATTCCCACATTTGGTAATCACAACCTACCCCCACTACCCCTTCCTCAGCAAAAACAGGATCTATTGGAAATAGAACATAGAACGTAGAGCAGTACAGCACAGGAACGGGCCCTTCGGCCTACAATGTGGTGCTGAACATGACGCTAAATGAAACTAATCCCTTCTGCCCACCTTTGGCCCATAGCCCTCCATTCTTTATATAGTCATGTGCTTATCGAAAAGTTCCTTAAATGCCCCTATTGTATCTGCCTCCACCACCACCCCTGGCAGCGCGTTCCAGATTCCTACCACGCTCAGTGTAAAAAAACTTGCCCCTCACGTCTCTTTTGAACTTTACCCCACTAACCTTAAATAGATGTCCCCGGGTATGAGATATTTTGGGATAAAGATTCTGACCATCAACCATATCTATGCATCTCATAATTTAACAGACTTCTGTCAGGTCTCTCCTCAGCCTCTGCCGCTCAAGAAAATACATTCCGAGTTTTTCTAGCCTCTCCTTATAGTTCATATCCTGTAATCCAGGCAGCATCCTGGTAAACCTCTTCTGCACCCTCTCCAAAGCTTCTACATCCTTCCTGTAATGTGGTGACCAGAACTGAATATGATACTCTCAGTGTGGCCCAACCAAAGTCTTATAACTGACTCTTGTACTCAAATCCCTGACCAATAAAGGCAAGCATGCCATATACCTTCTTTACCACCCGATGTACTTGTGCGGCCACTTTCAGGGAACTGTGGATTTGTACCCCAAGATCCCTCTGTACATTAATGCTATTAGAGTCCTGCCATTAACTGTATACTTTTCCTTAACATTTGATCTCCCAAAGTGCAGCATCTCACACTTACCCAGATTAAACTCCATCTGCCATTTCTCCGCCCATATCGGCAACTGATTTATATCCCGCTGTAACCTTTAACAACCTTCTACGCTATCCACAACTCCACCAATTTTTGTACTGTCTGCAAACTTACTAACCTACCCATCTACATTTTCATCCAAATCATCTATATATATCAAAAACAGCAGAAGTACCAGTACAAATCCCTGTGGAATACCACTAGTCACGAACTTCCAGCCCCAGAAACATCCATCGCTACCCTCTGTTTTCTGTGGGCAAACCAATTCTGAATCTATGCAGCCAAGTCATCGTGGATCCCATGCATCTTAATCTTCTGGATGAGTTTACCATGAGGGACCTTGTCGGAAGCCTCACTAAAATCCATGCAAACAACAAACACTGTTCTAGCCTCAATGATCACCATCATCACCTCCTGGAAAAATTCAATCAAACTAGTAAGACGTGATCTGCCCTTCACAAAGCCATGCTGACTGTCCCTAATTAGGCCATGCTTTTCCAAATGTGCGCAAATCCTATCCCTAAGAATTCTCTCCAATAGCTTCCCAACTATCGATGTGAGACTCACCGGTCTGTAGTTTCCTGGATTATCCCTATTTCCCTTCTTAAACAAAGAAACAATATTAGCTACTCGCCAGTCCTCCAGGACCTCTCCAGTGGCTACAAAGATCTTGGTCAAGGCCCCAGCAAAAGCTCCTGTCTTGCCTCTCTCAATAACCTGGGGTAGATGCCATCGGGCCCTGGGGATTTATCCACCTTAATGCTCTTCAAGAGATCCAACAGCACTTCTTTCTTGATCTGAAAATGCCCTAGCATATTCGCATGCTCCACACTGAACTCACTGTCCTCCATGTCCTTTACCTAGGTGAATGCCAGTGCAAAGTACCCATTGAGGATCCTGTGAATTATTGAGGACAGGAATTTCGGATCTGAGACTGCACCACCAATTGGAAGGCCCTGGAGTCTCTAGATCTCCATGAAAATCCAGACCTGATTGCTGAGTTGACCAGTCTGGTGTTTGCTTACCACAACCAGGCCACCTATTTGAATCAGCATTCTGATCAATTGGTGTAACATCTTTTACAGAACACTTTCTCTACCGTTTTCCAGGAATTGGCTTCCTCTGGCGATCTGCTCAAGTGAATAGGGGTCTTCTGTTTTTCAGCTCCAGTGTCAACAATATGAGGGGCATGGGAAAGAGACCATATAGCTAATACCATTAATCCTCAACCCTCAGAAATATCTACTCAATGACAAAGGCTAATGAAAAGTTATCCCTCATTGCTACCAGACCAAATTACAAAAGGGGGAGGTATTTGTCTTTTAGTTGTATAACACTCTGTTTGGGATGTTAGTGGGCAGTGGTAGTGTCCCTACCTATAAGCTAGAGCTCCAGGTTCAAGTTTTATCTGCTCCAGAGGTGTGTATTAACAGATTGATTTAAAAATACCGACCCTGAGAAACTCCAGTAAACGTGAGCTATTAATTTGAAATGCCAACAGAAAATCTGGAACTATTCAGTGGGTCTGGTGAGGGGTCCTGTGGTGCTGTGGTATTGTCCCTACCTCTGAGCCAAGAGGCCCTGGTTCAAGTCCCACTTGTTCCAGAGGTGTATAATAAGATTAGAAATACAAAGAGCATGCTGGTGAATTGCTTCTGGAATGTCCATCTGGCCACCTCACCTCCAAAAGGATATATTGGCCTGCATGGGAGATAATGATGATTCATCAGAATGATGCCTGGGATTTGGAGGTTATATTAAAAGGAAAGATTTATGTTATATTAAAAGGTAAAATTTAGGTTAAATTAAAAGGAAAATTGCACCTTCTTATCAAATTACAGAGTCAGCTGAAGAGGCCAAATGGCCTGGTCACGTTACAAACATTATCTTCATATGAACTTGGCTTTGTATTACCTTGAGCGTAGCAGATTGGGGAGCAAGCATGTGTTTACAATGTTAGAAAGAAATGGTTAGGTCAGATATGGAGGAACTGTCACCTCTGATGAGGAATCAGGAGAAAGTGGTGAGTCGGACTCCTAATCTACCCATTAGACCACAACCATTCACAGGACAGAATTTGAAATTGTTCAAAATCTGCAATTCTTCATCCTGAAAGGGGTGAGATTCTTGGGGTCAGTTGGAACTCTGATTGGTCAATTTTTTTTTATTCTGAGAAGGGGATATCAAGGAATTTTTTTTATTCATTCCTGGGTTGTGGGTGTCACTGGCTAGGCAGCATTTATTGCCCATCCCTGATTTCCCAGAGGGCAATTAAGAGTCAACCACATTGCTGTGGGCCTGGAGTCACATGTAGACTAGATTGGGTAAGGACAGCAATTTCTTTCCCTAAAGGACATTAGTGAACCAAGCTGGCTTCCCCCCACCCAACAATCGATAACAGATTCGTGATCATGATCAGTCACTTAATTCCAAACTTTTGTCTTGAACCTACCACCTACCATGGCAGGATTTGAACCCGGACCCCGGATCATTACTGGGGTCTCTGGATTAATGGTCAAGCCATAATACCGCTAGGCCATTGCCTCCCCTTGTACAGGAAGATGGAATTGAGAAACATCGTCCCAATCTAATGGGATGGCAGTCCAGGGCTGAAGGGTTGAATGGCCTCTTCCAGTTCGGAATGCTCTGATATTCCACATCAATTTTCTCTCCTGGAAGTCTTTTCAGCGTACTGTGTGTAAAGTAATGACTGATTCTCTCTTTTGATTCTCTCTTCCTTTCTAAAGAAGGAAAGTCCTGTCTTTGATCCATGAGCTAGCTTTCACAAATAGCCTCTCAGGCTACTGAGAACTCATGGCGGCTGATAGATAAATGGAACAAGAGCTTTAGAGGATGTGGCAGAGGTTGAATGTGTCTGAAAGGATGCATCATTCACACACAGTACCTTATACAGTCAGAGAGTCATACAGTACAGAAACAGACCCTTCAGTCCAACCAGTCCATGCTGACCATTCTCCCAAACTAAACTAGTCCCACCTGCCTGAACTTGACCCGTATCGCTGCAAACAGTTCGTATTCGTGAACTTATCCAAATATCTTTTAAACATTGTAACTGTACCCACATCCATCACTTCCTTGGAAGTTCATTCCACACATGAACCACTCTCTGTGTAAAAATATTGCCCCTCGAGTCTTTTTTAAATTTTTCTCCTCCTACCTTAAAAATATACCGTCTAGTCTTGAAATCCCTAACCCTAGGGAAAAGACATCTGCCATTCACCTTATCTATACCCCTCATGATTTTATAAACCTCGTAATGTCACCCCTCAACTTCATACGCTCCGGTGAAAAAAATCCCAGCCTATTTTTATAACTCAAACCTTCCATTCCCAGCAACATCCTGGTAAATCTTTTCTTAACTCTCTCCAGCTTAATAGTATCCTTCCTATAACAGGGTGGCCAGAACTGCACACAGTATTCAGGACGAGCCCTTCGCTGGTAGGGTGCACAGATACATAGGGAGGCAATAGCCTAGTGGTATTATCGCTGATCTGTTAATCCGGAGATCCAGGTAATGTTCTGGGGACCTGGGTTCAAATGGTGGAATTTGAATTCAATAAATATCTGGAATTAAGAGTCTAATGATCACCATGGATCCATTGCTGAATGTCAGAAAAACTCATCTGGTTCACTAATGCCCTTTAGGGAAGGAAACTGCCATCCTTACCTGGTCTGGCCTACACGTGACATGTGGTTGAATCATAACTGCCTTCTGGGCACCTCAGGATAGGCAATAAATGCCTAGCCAGTGACGCCCTCATCCTGCGAATGAATTAAAAAAGAAAGGTTTTCACTCCATTTTAAACCCGTGGATAAAGAGATAATCGCAAACGCTCCTCATTCAAACTGCAGATCATGGAATTCACTGCTCCTTCAACTCTGTTCCTGAAACAATCAGATTGTTGATGTCTCCAATGCAAGTCAGGGAAGGCAATGGCTGGACTGTTAATCCAGTGACACAGATAATGTTCTGGGGACCCAGGTTTGAATCCTGCCATTGCAGATGGTGAAATTTAAATTCAATAAATATCTGGAATTGACAGTCTAATGATGACCATGAATCCATTGTCACTAATGTTCTTTAGGGAAGGAAACTGCCACCTTGACCTGGTCTGGCCTACATGTGACTCCAGACTCTCAGCAATGTGGTTGACTCTTAACTGCCTTCTGAGCAATTAGGGATGGGCAATAAATGCTGCCTGGGCAGCGACGCCCTCATCCAGTGAATGAATAAATAAAAAAAAATATGCTGCCATCAAAAGTCACAGTACTCTGTACTAATTCCCAAAATTGCTACTCAGAACCACGCCCCTCAGAACTGCAGAGAAGATGCTGCAGGGAAAGCAGACTGTTACAAACAAGGACCAAGAGTAGGCCATTCAGCCCATCAAGCTTGCTCTGCCATTCAGTCAGGTCATGGCT